TATTATTATTATTATTATTATTATTATTATTATTATTATTATTATTACTACAGCCTGGCTTGGGAGCAAATACCTTAGCTGCATCTATGGGTGGACTAAGTCTTCAGCCTGAAGGATTAAGACCTATCAACCTTCTTCAAGACAGAAATATTCTTCCTGCAACCCCCTTGCAAGCACCCATTCCCAATTTGCATCAAGATATTCAGAAGCTCAACTGCAATCCCGAGTAAGGTTAATTGATACTGCTCGTAAAAGAATAAATCTCTTCAATTTCTATTATTCTGAGGGTTCTCCCTAATGTCTTTCTGGGTTTTTTAAAATGGTTAGAATGCAGTACTGCAGGCTACTTTTGCTGACTGCTGGCTGCCTGCAATTTTGTAGTTCAAATCTCACCGGGCTCAAGGTTGACTCAGCCTTCCATTCTTCTGAGGTCGGTAAAATGAGGACTCAGATTGTTGGGGGCAAATATGCTGACTTTGTAAACTGCTTAGAGTGGGCTGTAAAGCACTGTGAAATGGTATATAAGGCTAAATGCTATTGCTATTGCTATTAATATATGACTGTAGCAGGAGACCAGTTTGGTTTAGCAATTAAAGCACTAGGCCAGTGGTCCCCAGCCTTTTTTATGCCGCGGCCCGGTACCGGCATCAGCTGGGCGCCGCCATCTTGTTTTGATGAAAAAGTGCTTCCGGTGTGCTTTCTACCCGGAAAAGCTCACCGGAAGCACTTTTTCATCAAAACAAGATGGCGGCGCCCAGCAAACCAGCAGCCCGGTAGGATTTGTTCCATGGACCGGTACCGGTCCGCGGACCGGTGGTTGGGGACCCCTGCACTAGGCTACAAACCAAGGGACTGTGAGTTCTAGTTGTGCCTTAGGCATGAAAGCTGACTTTGGACTAGTCACACACTTAGCCCATGATGTCAAGCTCAGGTGACAAATTAGTCAGTCAATTCCTGTTGCAGCCAAATTGGTTGGCATTTGATTGATAAAAAAGAAAGAAAGGGGTGGGTGGGGGAGACATCCTCCACTTGCAAAAAAATGCTAGGAAAAAAATACTGCTGCAGCACTTTCATGCAATCCTACAAACTTATTTAAAATTTTGCATTTGTTATAGTTTTTTTCCCTAAACTGAATGCTGCTTAATTTTCTTCAAAATTAAGAGAGAGAAAAGTAATAACTGATTGTGGAGATCAGGAAGGTTGATACATGTAATTAGTTCTTCTTTAATCCTTTGGTTTTCCATATAGGTTGTTCCGGTGTACTTTGACAAACATTCCTCAGACTCAGGCCTTACTGAATAAAGCCAAACTTCCCTTGGGGCTTCTACTTCACCCTTTCAAAGATTTATCGGTATGTTATTTAATGTTTGAGAATGTTAGGGTGTTAAAATCTGTATTCAAATCACTCTAGTTAATATTCTTCATAATATAAGAAGTATGGCACTCAACTCCCCAAATTTCCAGGCTGCAGCAAATTTCCAGAATTCTGGGAGTTGAAATCCACACATCTTAAAGTTGCCAAATTTGAAAACATTGTTCTAGATAATAATAATAATATTCTGCATGCATGTATTATCCATAATTGTCTCAGAGATGAATTCCACGAATTATCTTTGATTTATGTAATCTGTCATGATGGCCAATTAACATGGTGGTTAATTCTGGCTGTAGCAGTTTCTACAAATAAAAATTCTAAAATCTAGGATTGTTTTTGGATGATTCTCCTAAATTTTAGGAATTTTAGTTTATCGATTTGGGTATACTACAAGTTATTTAAAGAAATTAAGTCCTTTAACCAAGAGAAGAATTACAAATTAGAAGACATTCAGATGAGATGACTTTACCAAAAATAGAATTTTGTGTAAGTTGCCTTTTCAGAGTCCAGTTACAACAGCATATGGTATTTTAAATATATTTTATTTAACTGCATGTATGAATCTGCAGTGCTGCAACAGTGATGAAATTTTACACAGATTGAACTAAAGATTGATTGATTAGCGATATTGAAGCTTTCAGTTTTTTATGTTTAACTTTTAAGGCATTTCAATAGATAACATTTAATCAAAGCTAAGAGCATCTTAGTATCTTTTCTTCCCTGGTTTTAATCTGTTGTGATGGTTGTATTTGCAAATAATAAAGAGTTACTAGGCTAGGGAATAACCTTGTGGGAAATGGGACATCAGTTGTTACAAATTAAACAGTCTATCTTGTCTCCTCATAATATATTTCTTTTTTACATAACTCTGCTTGAATGCAACATACAACATTTTATATAGGTTGTTCTCATCTTCTGGATAAACATATATTGTTAAGTGTGTTGCACTTAACACATGTTAAGTGTCCAAGTCCAAGTAATTTAGCATTTATTGATAATGTAAGATATTTTATAAAAATTCAGTTTTTTGTTCCTGCTTTCAAAATAAGACCTGATTCCTTTATCAGATGAATATTTCAATGTTGTCTGCAAATATGAAAACTGCAAAGCCATGTCTCCCACTGGTACATGACTTGATGACAAATGTTCTTTAACAAATGACTTAAACATTCTTCTTTTCAGCAATTGCCTGTAGTAACCTCTAGTACAATTGTGAGATGTCGTAGCTGTAGAACGTATATCAATCCTTTTGTCAGCTTCCTTGATCAAAGGAGATGGAAATGCAACTTGTGCTACAGAGTGAATGATGGTGAGTTTTTTTAATGAGTTTAAATCCAATAATCAGTTGATTTCATGATAAGTTCTTAAGTGTACACATGTATACATACACATAAGCTATTTAATTCCAGTAAGATACATTTATGACATCAATCTCTCGCTGCTTTTAGGTAATTGGACATATTATGGGAATAAATGTTTCTTTAAAAGACTATTAGGCTGTAAAATATTATATAAAATATTGTAAACCTTGAGACTTACACTGGTTTATAAAATGTATTTTTCCTCCTATAGTACCTGAAGAGTTTATGTATAATCCTGTGACAAGAGTTTATGGAGAACCTCATAAAAGACCTGAAGTACAAAATGCCACTATTGAGTTTATGGCTCCTTCTGAATACATGGTAAGATCTCCCTCCCCAACTTTCTTTCTCTTCATTCCTCCCCTCCCTCCCTCCCTCCCTTCCCAATCTTATACACTGGGTAGTCATAATAAACACAATTTGTGCAGAACTACTGTATCTCAGCATTTTCCTTCTTTTATTTGACTTTCATTTATCCATTCTTGCATAGCTGTTATAGAAAAAATAGACAGAAGTACTTCAGTTGAGACAAAGTGACTGGATATAATTTGTACCATACATCTTAGAGAACTTTGCTACATCTTAGAACTTTCAAGTAGTTGGTTGGATTCTCAAGCTCTTCATGAGCATCTTCCTTCTGTATTAAAAACTGCTCTTAAGTTTCCAAATTTCCAAAAGCACCCTTTCACATACTGTGAAGGATTATTAGAAAAAAACAAAAGTCAAGGAGTGTGCTCTTGCTTATGAAACAAATCGAGCTCTATGGAATTCTGTGTCTTATTCCATGAGTTTAGTTATCTCATTTTCCCTTTTTTTGTTGATGCTTATGTACTTCTAGGAAAGCTTATTGATCTTATATTGCACCAGAGAAAGGGGTATCTTTCATTGGAGAAACATCTTTCAAGTCAGTCTACAGGTTCATGTACTCCCAAAAATTTGGGAGTAGTTTGTCATTACCTTCTTTCAGACTCCACCAACTTCTGTGATTAAGGAGGACCAAAAATTAGACCTCTCTGCTTCTAATCTAGCACCTCGACCTCCATCCACACTGTCCAAGATTTGAAAGAAATATTGACTCTAATGTATTGCATATTTACAATAAATATATCTTTTTATGTCATAGTGGTTCTCAGTTCTCTAAATCTCTGAATCCACTATACTACCATTTGCTGTTTTTGAAAAATGTGTGGTGTGCACACTATGATTTTTCTTCCATTTTGTAACACGAGTTACAAAGCAGAGCTCAGTAAACTTGCTACAATGAAAACTTCTCATTTTCACAATAGAGAATTCATCAAACATGGATTATAATTTGTAAAAGTGCATTATATTTATGGTATTAAAAATACAGACTACTTTACAGCCAAGTAATAAAGTCAGCAGCCCTAGATTGATATTTAAATGTTTATAATTGCACCTTGTTTTTTTCAGCTACGTCCACCTCAGCCTCCTGTGTACCTCTTTGTATTTGATGTGTCACACAATGCAATAGAAACAGGATACTTAGACACTGTCTGCAAGACTTTGTTGGACAATTTAGATCTGTGAGTCCTTTGCATCTTTTCAATCTATCAATGTAATCTTTAAAATTAATATCTCTCCAGTCCTGGACCAAGCACACACAAACACACAAAGGGGTGATTTTGTTCTGTTTACTAGATGAGAGTTGGAAAAAGATGCACTTGCAGTATAAAGTGTCATCTCTCCCCCTCGCCCCCCGAAGTTCAACAGTTTTGCTTTAGAAGTGTTTCAAATCAAAGCAACACACAGGAGAGTATCAGTGGAGTCCTCGGGTCAAAGCATGTAGCAGATTCGTCAGCCATTTTAGGACCAAAGATAGTCAGGGTTGCAAGATTCACAAGTCAAGGCACATGGAGTGGGAGTTAGGGTGGTTGTCGCCAAGGGACAGCTTATGCTTGCTGCTCCTTTTAATAGAAGCAACCCCAGTGCAGCTCATGGTAGGGCGAGCCCCCTTCTGTGTGAGCAGTCTCAAAGAGCACAGAGGTTCTACTCTCTGCAGCCTGTCAAGCTCTTGTGTTGAGAGGAGGGAGGTTATTCTGCACTCTCATCTTCAGAGAGTGACAGCATCTGTGTGTGCTGTTTTAGACCTACCTCCTTTGCTTGCTCAGGCAGCGGTCGGTCTGGTGGTACCTGGGTTGGCTGCTTGTTGTTTGTCAGCACTTCAGGAGCTGGCACTGGCTGCTCATTGTCTGTTCCCTCCTCTAACTCAAATCTGAGTCCACCACAACATCATTAAGTTGGGTTGGAGTATGTCAATGCAGAATGTATAAAATTATACTTACTGTAATATTTGAGGAGTGGGTATTAAAGGAATGTTCACTGAATTGAAAAACAGGGTAGCACAAGAGTTTAGCTCATTGCAGGATGACATCAGTATACAGAAAACATAAATTTACACAAACCTGCAATGATGAAAGTTTATGGACGTTTTAGAATTATTGGTAATCCAAGTAGCATGACTCACAGTGTGATTTGAGGCTCATCTTTTAATAAAAATGGATGGACTTTTGAACTGAATACGTTCTTTAGGAAATGTGTGCATAATCTGAAAGGATAATTTGCTTAAGGAACTCTGTATTTTGCAATGTTTGTAAGAAACAAAATGTCTTTTTCTGTAATGAAGGTAGACTTTTTCTCCATTTCAGAATATCTCACCTGGGCCATTCTCTGTCTTTCCTTTTTTTTCATATTATTGTCACAATAAAGTTCTATTCCACTACTTTGAAACTTAATAATGAACCAAGTTCATGGAAAAATTATTTATTTACCTATATTTAACATGTTACATGAAATGTTGTTTTATGAAAATATATATGTTCAACATAGCATTGGCACTCCACAAGGTTGTGTCCTTAGTCCACTACTGTTCTCCATTTATTCATCTGATTGCACAAATAAACATCCCAACAATAGGACAATGAAATTTGCAGACGATACTACGCTTGTAGGACTTATTTCTGGGGATGATGAGTCTGCATATCGGGATGAGGTACTACAGCTATCCCGCTGGTGCAAGAATAATAATCTTCTATTTAATATTAAGAAGACCAAGGAGGTTATAGTGGACTATAGGAAAAAAAAGAGCAGACATTCAGCCACTGTATATAGAGGGAGTTCGTGTGGAACAGGTGGTGGAATGTAAGTTTCTCGAGACCATCATTACAAATGACCTGACTTGGAGCGCAAACACCGCTGCTTTAATTAAGAAGGCACAACAACGGTTGTATTTACTAAGGATTCTTAGGAAACAACAACTGGCTGAGAGTCTACTGACTGCCTTCTATCGGAGTTCAATTGAGAGTATATTATCCTACTGTCTCTGTGTATGGTTCTCGAGCTGCACAGTGGCAGAGAAAAAGGCAATTCAGAGGGTGATCAAGACGGCCCAAAACATCATTGGCTGCTCACTCCCCTCTTTGGAAGAACTGTATAGGAATAGATGTAAGAGGAAGATACTTAATATATTGAATGACTCCTCTCATCCGGGACATCAGCTCTTTGAACTATTACCATCGAGAAGGAGATTTAGGGTATTAAGAACAAGGACGACCAGATTTAAGAACAGTTTTTATCCAAGTGCAGTTTTGAGTTTGAATGCAGGGTCATAAGATTTTTGTGGAATTTAAATGGCTGAGAGTAATGGGGTATTTACATTTTTAAATTGCATAGAGATTATTGTATGGTTGTTTGTGTTTAGTTCAATTTTTTTTCTTTTAGTGGTGTTTGTCCAGTTTTACTTTGTGGAAGAGCACCTCATTTCGTTGTACCCGCTAGCGAGTGTAATGACAAATAAATTCTTATGTCTTATGTCTTACATGTGCACACTTTATGTATTTGATGCCTGGTGCTTAATTTCTCTGCTTCATTTCAGGCTCCCAGGGAACACTAGAACAAAAATAGGCTTCATAACATTTGACAGCACAATCCATTTCTATAGCCTCCAGGAAGGTCTCTCACAGCCTCAAATGTTAATCATTTCAGATATTGAAGGTAAGAAGAAATAATACTGAATACCAAATTTATGAAGTATACTTTATGACTTCTCATATACTCCTTAACTGAAACATTAATCCAAAACATTTTCTGTTTTCAAAGAGAAATAAAACAGTTAAATAACAAATGTTCGTAGTTTGCTATTAAAGATGATTCTCAGTCATACTGTAAGCTAGGAGAGCAAGAAAGGAAAAAGAGCAAATGTCCTCTAGTCAAAGATACAGCTAGAAAAATGCTCCTAGGTAGAATATGCCTCAGTCATTCATGTTGAAGACTGTGCGTCAGTCTTCAAGAAAAGTAAGGTCTCTGCTGTTTTCAATTTTTGTTTTTGGGGGAAAAGAAACCTAGGATTTAAATTTGTTCATTGCAGATTTTCTTTTACACACAGCCTTATGATAGTTGTCTTATTTACTATAGGTGTTTTAGGGCTACCTCTTAGCTCACTTATAAATTCTGTCTTCTCACATTTTCATTATAGGAAATGTCAAAGAAGCAAAGCACTTCACACACAACTCTCAAGGGTCCCCCCCACCCCAATTTCAGAGTCACTTTCTGGCTATAGGTCCAGGAAATAAATACTATTATTTCTGTAGTTTGTACAATGTCTCTCATGACTGTAGTAGTTTGTATTTGGGGTAATGTAAAGGTTTTTCCCTCTTAGATTTATTCTGGGAGATGAGGGAAATTTAAAGGTCACTTTTCTCGGTATTTTTTTCCCCACACCCTGCTTGCTTGCTTCTTGCTTGCTAATTAATAAATTAATTATTTTACTTTATTCATTCAGCTCACATGCCGCTTATTTTTCTTGGAGACTGTAATAATTGAAATCCAATAAAAAACATTCAACCAATAAATAGTAACATTAAATTAGTTAAAATTAACAAAAATGGGGAGGTAGGAAGCAAAATGCATGTAGGTGGAAGATGGGGTCGTAGTCAGTTAACCACGTCCAGAAAGATTGCCCCCATGGGGTACTAGGCTATTTGGCAGAAGCAAGGCTTCAGGCCCTTTCAGAATGTCAGAAGGATGGGTGTGGATCTCATCTTGGGGGGGGGGGGGGGGGTTTGAAGTAGAAATGGGGTACTCTGAGTTTTAATCACAGGTAGCTGTGATTAAAAGATGGCTGGGTGTCTATGGGCTAGTCTTTTAGTCCATCTCACCTCAAAAGGTTGTATTTTGCGGGGGGGAAACAGGTGAAAGTATTAAGGTAGTCCTTGACTTACAACCACAAACGGGACTGGAATTTTAGCTATAAGTTCTTGCAGTTGTAAATTGTGACATTACTGAACCCATTGTTTACTGTTTTTATGCCAGTCATTAAGCAAATCCATTGTCCTGAATGGGCACTTTTTGCTGGAAACTGCAGAAAACTTTGCGAATTGTAGTCCTATGACTGTGGACCACTGCAATCAGTTGCCAAGCACCTGAAATGCAGTCATGTCACTGGAGGGGGGGGGAGGCATCTTGATTTTTATCATGGGTGGAAGGGCTTCATAGGTTGTAAAACAGCCTTTCCAAGGCTATCATAACTGAACAGTCATTAAATCCAATGATAAATAATAAATTAAATACTTTGTTATCTATCTTGTAGATGTGTTTATACCCATGCCGGAAAACTTATTAGTAAATTTAAATGAAAGCAAAGAGGTAAGAGGAATATTATATGTTGTAAGTATAAGCAAAAGTACACTGCTCAAAAAAATAAAGGGAACACAAAAATAAGACATCCTAGATCTGAATGAATGAAATATTCTTATTAAATACTTTGTTCATTACATAGTTGAATGTGCTGACAACAAAATCACACAAAAATTATCAATGGAAATCAAATTTAGCAACCCATGGAGGTCTGGATTTGGAGTTACACTCAAAATTAAAGTGGAAAAAAAACACTACAGGCTGATCCAACTTTGATGTAATGTCCTTAAAACAAGTCAAAATGAGGCTCAGTAGTGTGTGTGGCCTCCACATGCCTGTATGACCTCCCTACAATGCCTGGGCATGCTCCTGATGAGGTGGCGGATGGTCTCCTGAGGGATCTCCTCCCACACCTGAACTAAAGCATCCCCCAACTCCTGGACAGTCTGTGGTGCAACGTGGCGTTGGTGGATGGACATGATGTCCCAGATGTGCTCAGTTGGATTCAGGTCTGGGGAACGGGCGGGCCAGTCCATAGCATCAATGCCTTCGTCTTGCAGGAACTGCTGACACACTCCAGCCACATGAGGTCTAGCATTGTCTTGCATTAGGAGGAATCCAGGGCCAACCGCACCAGCATATGGTCTCACAAGGGGTCTGAGGGTCTCATCTCGGTACCGAATGGCAGTCAGGCTACCTCTGGCGAGCACATGGAGGGCTGTGCGGCCCCCTAAAGAAATGCCACTCCTCACCATTATTGACCCACTGCCAAACCGGTCATGCTGGAGGATGTTGCAGGCAGCAAACGTTCTCCATGGTGTCTCCAGACCCTGTCACGTCTGTCACATGTGCTCAGTGTGAACCTGCTTTCATCTGTGAAGAGCACAGGGTGCCAGTGGCGAATTTGCCAATCTTGGTGTTCTCTGGCAAATGCCAAACATCCTGCACGGTGTTGGGCTGTAAGCACAACCCCCACCTGTGGACGTCAGGCCCTCCCTCATACCACCCTCATGGAGTCTGTTTCTGACCATTTGAGCAGCCACATGCACATTTGTGGCCCGCTGGCCTCCTCCACGTCTCCTGATACACTGGCCTGTCTCCTGGTAGCGCCTCCATGCTCTGGACACTACGCTGACACAGTAAACCTTCTTGCCACAGCTCACATTGATGTGCCATCCTGGATGAGCTGCACTACCTGAGCCACTTGTGTGGGTTGTAGACTCCGTCTCATGCTACCACTAGAGTGAAAGCATCGCCAGCATTCAAAAGTGACCAAACCATCAGCCAGAAAGCATAGGAACTGAGAAGTGGTCTGTGGTCACCACCTGCAGAACCACTCCTTTATTGGGGATGTCTTGCTAACTGCCTATGCTTTCTACCTGTTGTCTATTCCATTTGCACAACAGCATGTGAAATTGATTGTCAATCAGTATTGCTACCTAAGTGGACAGTTTGATTTCACAGAAGTGTGATTGACTTGGAGTTACATTGTGTTGTTTAAGTGTTCCCTTTATTTTTTTGAGCAGTGTATATTTTAAGCAATTGACTTTTAAATATTATTTTCCTGTTCCATGTAATAATATCTAAAACATATTTTGGCCTGAGAACAAAATAACTTCAGTTAAAATGTTCATTACCTAATAATGGGACAAATCACAAATGGCAGGCAGCAATGTGAAGAGTAACTCCAGTCCACTTCTCAAGAGCCACCTAAACAAACTCTTTCCACATAATTGGACAAGAGGGTGCCTGAGTTATCTACACAAGATTAGGACAGTCAGAGGGCAGCTACTGATCTTTCTGGTTCATTTGTGTAACCTACACTCTCACCCTCTGTTCTGTATAACTAACTTTTAAAGCTCTAAGCATCTGATCAGTTATTATACTGATAAGCTTGGAACCTGAAATTTTGAAGCTTTCAATTCTATCAGATGAGATGATGCTGTTACATGTTCTTTAATACATAAACAAAATAAACAACCACTGAGTGATTAATTTAAGGTCTCCTCATTGGAGAAACCCTAATAATGGATGGTATTTCCAATGGTGGTACATCGGTACATAAATTTTTAACATTAGACAAAAAACTTTCACTTAGTACTACTATTGATTTTATTTCAGTTTTATTTTTTTAATCTGCAGAGTGGGCTTCAAATATTGGATAATATAAAAATGGATAAATATAACATATAAAAAGATGGAAATTTGATTTCTTTCAGCTGATTCAAGATTTATTGAGAACTTTGCCTCAGATGTTTATTAAATCTTTGGAAACCCAAAGTGCTTTGGGACCTGCACTACAGGCTGCCTTTAAACTTATGTCACCTACTGGGGGTCGGATTACTGTCTTCCAAACTCAGCTTCCATCTTTAGGAGCAGGTGCACTCAAACCACGGGAAGAGCCTAACCAAAAAGCATCCACAAAGGTTAGCAAAACAAAATTTATGCCTGATTTTTAAGTGACTCTTAAAATCTTTTTTTTTTTAATTGTAACAGCTCTTTTTAAAAATAGTTATAGTCTGCAGTGGGGCTGCAAAAATGCAAATTTGTCAACAGAAGAATATCTTCTAAACCACAGGAAACTATAGTTCTCCTTTATTCTACTTTGGTCAGATTTAGCATTGAGTTCTGGATAGTATTCTGAGTTTTATAATTTAAGAATGATGTGCCATCCTGGATGAGCTGCACTAGAGACTGGAACAGGTTCAGAACATGGCAATGAGAATGATCAGCAGAGCAGAAACTGTTGTGTGAAGATGTATTTGAAGGCACTAGGCATATTTAGTCCTGAGGGGGGAAAACTAAGGGAAAATATAATACTACTATTCACATATCTGAAAAGGTAATTTGCAGAACATGTTCTGTATCACTACAAGAATTACGGATTTAAGTTACGGGGAGGTAGAGTTTGACTGCATATTAGAAAACTTCCTAAAAGTAGAGCAGTTCAGCTGTAGAATTTATTTTTAGACAGGTGGTTTTTTGGGGTGTGCATGTGTACCCTTCAAGTCATTTACTCTGGTGACTGTCTGGACAAATCCTTGTAGTTTTCTTGGCAAGATTTCAGAAGCGGCTTGCCATTGCCAACTTCCTAGGGCTGAGAGAGGTTGGCTCAAAGTCATCCAACTGGTTTTGTGTCTCAGGCAGGACTAGAACTCTCTCAGTCTCCTCAGTTTTAGCTTGATATCTTAACCACTACACCAAACTAATTCTTGAACATCTCTACAGGATGAATACAAATATAGGCTGTTATAGATGATGTAATTTCATTTGCTATACTGAACAGGCCATTGACCCTAATGCCTAAATGGCCATTTTCAATTTGACTACTAGGAAACCTAGACTCAATTCATTTTGTAACAAAATCCTTGCTTTAGTTTGAACATTACTAACATTTTTAAATTTTAGGCAATAGCCAGTGTAAATCAATATTTGAACAATGCTGTCCTTACAGTAAGGCTGTGAGCAAAACATCACTTTTCAACCAACCACACGCTGCAACTTCCCTTTACCCAGCATTCCTGGTGAAAGCATCTTCAGTGCATACACAAGCATACGGAAGAAATTTGGCACAAAAAGGCTGTGCTAAACCTTTGGGAGGATGCGGCTGCTTCAGTGCTTTGATGAATATTGCTTTGTTGGTGGCATAAACATGAGTATGAGTGAAACACCCCTTCAAGTGCATATTTTGCCTTTTACCAGGATGTTCCTCTGACACCATCTACTGACTTCTATAAAAAATTGGCCTTGGATTGCTCAGGACAGCAGGTTGCAGTTGACTTGTTTCTTCTTAGTGGACAGTACTCTGACTTGGCTTCATTAGGTAAGACATTCTTCTTGCTCGCCATTTAGGAATGCTTTGTTTAAAGATGTAGATTGCGCAGGGATGATTATAATAAAATATGGTCATCCTTTATCAAAACTGTTGCATAAAACTATATGTATGCATGAGAAGCCCTGTTCTACTGGTTTGCTTTCTTTCCTGCTTGATTAATAAAGGTATACAACTATAGTAAAGTTGTAATGAACTTTGTTTCTACAATTACAGATTTTAAATTGTAAAAACTAAAACATCACAATCAAAAGATGGAGCAATAAATGTCAATAATGTACTTGATGATATTTCCAGTTCATTGTGTTTAAAAATCTGTTCTTTAGGAAAGAAATGTATTCCATTTCAATAGTTAACCTAATGCTTGAAAAAAATGTGCATCTTTTTCTTACTTTAAAACATTGTTTTTTATATTATATTACTCTAAGTCCAAAAATGAAATAAATTTACTTTTTTAGGATGTATATCAAGGTATTCTGCTGGTAGTGTCCATTATTATCAAGCTTACCATCATCAACACAATCCTCTTCTGGTGGAGAAATTACAGAAGGAACTAAAGCGATATTTAACTAGGAAGATTGGCTTTGAAGCCGTCATGAGGATAAGATGTACCAAAGGTCAGACACTTTGTATGCCAGTGTTAATTGAAGTATTGTCAAAACTGCTTAAATAAGTGAAAAGGTGCATGTAAAAATCTGAAATTCTAAGTAGCCTGAATTTGGAATTCTGACATTATGTTTAATACTCAGCATTGCTTAAGTTACTATTCTTTCTTTACAGTCTTAATGTATGAGCTTTTAGGAAAGAGTTGTCATAGAATATTATAACCTATTGTATAATCAGTGAAGGCTATTTCCACATGTGTAAATTATCTGAGATTGTTGATTCAAAGATCATGGGAACACGGCATCCTGTTCCCCAGGAGCAAGGTATTGGATGGTTGCAGTGGAAGCAGCTCTCACCCCTGCCCTCCCCTCCCCTTTCCCTAGAGTTTCTTATATTGTTAAATAAATTGGCTCAGGTCTTTGGAGAATCTGGTCTGCCTATCAAAGCAGATTGGTACTTCTAGGAAGATTTTTAAAGAATGCATTGTAAATCCAAAGGTAAATTTATGCCTTAAATGTTCTTTTTTGGAATAGATTTTTTGGATAGATTTTGGAGGGTTGGGGGGAAGAGGACATCTTGAATCAACAGGTAATGCAAAATGAGTTGCACACATGAATGAGCTTTCTTTTGTATTTATGAATGAGATGATTTTTCTAAACTTAAGCTTATTTTAACCACAGTTTTCAAATGTTTTCATGATTCAAAAGAACATAGCCCCAAGTCTATATTTCTTCTTTATTGTAAAAAAAAGGTACATATTTTAATTCCGATTCAGTTCTATTTTTGAAAACATAACAGACTTATAATGATAACGCTGTAATATATTTGCATCACTTATTTAAGAATGTTTTAATCAACTTAAGCAGTTCAAGAGAGACTGGCTACATTTAGATTGCCCTTTTATGTGGTAAAATCCTCTCTGTATGCACAAAGAAATAGTGTTCCTCACTACATTGAGAATAATACTACAAAAACTTTATGACAATGGGATGTGTTTGCCATACAGAAATTTCATTTCCCACACATTGCTTCTGCTTTGATGCTTTGAGCTGAGCATGACACCTTATAGAAGTACTTAGTGACAGTGCTTAAACCTAATATGTGGAAAATTGAAGAATGAATTCTAGTCATTTTAAACTTAATTATAATGTTTTAAACATTATAATTCTTTTTGCAGGCCTTTCAATTCACACCTTCCATGGCAACTTCTTTGTACGGTCAACTGATCTACTGTCTCTGCCAAACGTGAATCCTGATGCAGGCTATGCTGTCCAAATGTCAGTAGAAGAGAGCTTGACAGATATGCAGGTGGTCTGCTTTCAGTCAGCCCTCCTGTATACATCTAGTAAAGGTAATCAGCCTGTGGCATCCACTATACATTTCAAGGTCACACCCTCCATGCTCTTAATAACGCAAAAAAGTTGTTATTAAAGTCTTTAGACTTTTGCAGTTTCCATGATTAAGAACTTTATAGGTTATTGGCAGATACTCATGGCTTTCAGTGTTAAATGGCACTTTGGGTTTGAAAAAAGCAGAAAGTAAAATGTCTTTTACATAAATTTGGTTAGAAAACAGCAGTCTCTATTTAAATTTGTAAGAAGAATGAGTTCGAATAATGCATTTCACCCCATGTCCGCAATAGAATTAATTTATTGTAGTTTTTGAAGCATATTCTGAAATTATTTTAAATGCTATTAAAAACTACTTTTTTAACAGGTGAAAGAAGAATACGTGTCCACACACTGTGCTTACCAGTTGTAAACCAATTGAGTGATGTTTATTTAGGAGCTGATGTACAAGCTATTACGGGCCTTTTAGCCAATATGGGTATGTGCTGAATTGTTGGATTGAATTGCACAATATTTTTTTATTCCATTGATACTAATCATTGTACAAAGTTTAAAGATTGGTGGTAATGAATGTTTTGGTTGAGATTGTTCTAGAATGCATAAAGATGCTTTACAAAATGTATCTACCTAAAAAGCTTGGCAACTGTGCCACAGCATAAAGAGCTATAGTTACTATACAGTGTTGCTTTGTATTCTTTTTAGTAAGTTGGATATCTGTGTGTGTGGGAGGGATATTGAGTGAGTGAGTCTTTATTCATTGATAATACTTTTTATTGCGATTGTCTTTTTGACAATCAAGTAGACTATGTTCTGTTCCTTTTCAGCTGTTGATCGGTCAATTTCTGCTAGTTTGAGTGATGCTCGAGATGCACTGGTGAATGCTGTAATAGATTCTCTTTCTGCATACTGCTCATCTGTCCTAACCATTCAGCAACCAGGTCTTATGGCTCCTGCATCATTACGTCTGTTTCCATTGTTTATCCTGGCTCTCTTAAAACAGGTAAAAATAAAAATAGAAATTGCCTTAGAAATAAGTTGGCTTAGAAAGAAGTTGGCTAAGTAAATTTTATTAAAATTAATAATAACCATTTACAGTATTAGCGTTATTTTTTTCCAGATATTTATATGCAGTAACAAATTTAGAAAAACTATTCTTTATTGAGAATAAGTTTCCAGACTTCCTGCATGCATGAAGTAAAAAAATGTATGGTTGGAATTGATGGTCTTGACATATGCATAACTCTTAAGTTGTCTTGTTTTTCTGTTGTACTTTTGTTTACAGAAAGCATTCCAAAGTAAAACAAATACCCGTTTAGATGAACGCATCTTTACAATGTGTCAAGTGAAAAGCCAACCATTAGTGTACCTCATGCTTATTATGCATCCCAATCTGTATAGAATTGACAATCTCACAGATGAGGTAAGTTCTTCATCTAAATTTGTCTGGAAATCATTGGATGTATCTTCCCAATCTCAAATATTATACAAAATTGTACTAAAATGTTTAATTTTTGTGCACATTTTATAATAAAGGCATGCATTTCCATGCTTTTCAGATTTAGGGAGCAGTTTTCTGCAACATTCTGTGTCAGTCTTCTTTTTTCTAAACCTCAAGTCTTGGAAGTCTGGAAAAAGGAAAACTTTTTCCTTTTCCCTATCAAAGCCTTGAGGATGATTTACTTATGTGAGTATTGACAATCCAGAACATTGCAAATAGGGACCAATATTTGACATGATAGGTGAAGGCATTAATTATGAAGGTAGCAATTATGACAGACTTTGAGAGTAGATATAAATATAACAGCTTTCAAGATACAGTATAAATTGTAACATTTATAAATTGGATTATTAGTTGGCAAGTACCAGAAATGTTATACACTGTTTCTATTTTTGTATGTAGTTGTCTAATTTTGTGCTTGATATACAAATTATTTAGCCATCAAATTCAGTGTTTTTGTATGTGTTTAAATGGAGATATTGAATTATGATGGGTAAATTGCAAAGGACATTAAAATTGAATATATGCAAGTAGAATATCTGATATTACAAATAGATATGAAAGAACTAAATTTAAATGGTACACATTCCTGTACTTTAACAAATGGAACAATATTATTACATGCAAGTAATAAAATAATAAAATTTAACATTGTTAAATTTAAGTTTCTTTCAAGAACAACTATTGATTGGTTCCTGCAAATGAAAATACCTTTCATAGTGCAAGGAACAGAAATTGTGTGAAATTTGCAAACCACTTCATCTGGAAACATTAACAATTATTTAAAAAATAAGGTTGGAAATTATTTTTCTTTATGTCATAGATATATGATAATGATGTATGTTTTAGACTTGATATCGGTCAGGGTGTTTTATTTGCCTATTAGAAATAATTTTATCTGTTTAGGGAGCCCTCAACATTGGTGACAGAACAGTACCTCAGCCACCCATTCTTCAGCTGTCTGTAGAAAAGTTAAACCGGGATGGTGCTTTTCTTATGGATGCTGGCTCTGTAAGTAGGATTTTATATATACTACAAGCAGCAGGAGGCATCTCATTCTCCATAAATAAAGCTTTATAGCAGTACTTTATTAGCTTGGTTTGAGGTAAAGGTTTAATGCATACATTATTTACTAATTCCTGTGTTTGAATATACAGGTCATGTTTTTATGGGTTGGAAAGAATTGTGGACAGAACTTTATAAGCCAAGTACTTGGAGCCCCAAACTATGCATCAATACCACACAATATGGTAAGAATATAACACAGTAAGCAAGGGTAGACAGCCTGAGTCCTTCATAATTTTGGACTACAATTTTCATCAAGCGCAGTGAATATGATAATGACTAAGGATTTACAGAGTTGTAGGACAATACCTTTACAGCAGATGGCAGCATCTAGTCAAACTGGTCTTGAAAATGCTAAATGGGGTCAGATCCAGCTGGATGGGAGATCATAATGAAATCTTAAGAATAGATTGTACAGTAAGCAAAGTTTAAAAAAAATATCAAAAGGTAAGAACATGGCATTTCCATACTATACTGCTGCCAAGAAAACAACAGGAATATAATTGCCAAGACCTGAACTTGACTCAATAAATTTAAGTTGAAGTATCGGTCAAGGTCATGTTACCTATTCCTTGAGGTAATGTGAACTACCCAAAAGGATTAAGGCACGGCCAACAAAGTACCAGTTGTGCAAACTAAAGTGTTTTTTAAATAGACCTGCAGAGAGCTTTTAGATACCCTTATGAATGCTTGAGTTTGCACTTTATAATTTAGAAGAACTAAAGTCAATTTTCCAAAAATGTTATCATTAAATAAACAGTTTGTGCACTATATGCTTCAGTCCAGTGTAACATCCCATTTGCCATGTTATGTACATAAAAAATACATGAAATTCTGTTCCCATTTTGTTTGTGTGTAATATCCCATTCAGAATGAACAGACTTTCTGCTTTAATAGATATTCCTTTCCCACTTAATGTAATACATTACGGTTTTCTATGTAGGTAGATCTTGGCTTATGACAGCAATCGGGACCATAATTACTGTGGCTAAGCAATGCAGCCATAAAGTGTGACCTCTTGTGACTATATCACCTAGCAATGGCAATTTTGGCATTCCGAGATGCTGTCAGTAAGCAAAGATCTTGCCTGACTGGGACTTCCCATTAACTTTGCTTGTGGGAAACCAGCAGGGAATGTTGTAAATCATGGTTCTCTGACTGTGGGCATTGCAACAGTCAGAACTCCCAAGAACCTGCCATTAAATTCCCTGTATCCAGTGTCACTGTAAGTTTGATTGGTCAATGAACATATAGTCGTAGTCGATGACTACTTTATCTTAAATTTGCTTAAGTGTTCTCCCAGTGCTGTCTCACGAAAAACACCAGAAACACTACGTTGTGTTCTGATAGAGAGAAAAAAGTATACTCTTGGAGAAGTCGCTTCATGAAGGTGGAATCAGTCCATGATGTATATACTGCTCAGTATTCTGAATAGAGAATATATTTTATAATATTTTTTGCTCGATCATTACCCACATTTTTGTTTGTTTTTGACAGACACATCTTCCAGAATTGAACACAGCTGAATCATCTAGAGTGCTTGCTTTTATTTTCTGGCTAAGGGAGCAAAGGCCTTTCTTTCCTATATTATATATTCTAAAGTAAGTAGAATGCTTGTGAAATTTGATTGAGAGATTGAAAAAAAATCTGCATGATTGCCTTTCTGAATACTAATAATTGCATGCATGTAAGTACCTTAAGTTGCAGACTTCCTTCAGTTCATGTCTGGTACAACAAGACACTTTTTTTTGCAGAGACAGAAAGCATATTCAGTGCAAAAAAACAACAATACCTACTACTAGCCAAAAGTATTAAGTAATGCCATGGAAAGGAATAAAAGAAGAGGGCAATGAAGATGATGCAAATGGAATTATGAAATCATTAACATTTATTTGCAGGATTGTTAGCAATTTAGACTGTCTAAAATAGACAAAGTTCTTTTAATGTAAATATTGAACATTAATTCTATGCATACAATAAATGTTAACTAAATATGATCATTGCTAGTCAGTTACCATGATGAATAGTTCTAAAAGAAATAAAGGATGTAAAGATGTACTTATAATGGCCTTCTGTTTATTTTGAAGGGATGAGAGTCCGTGGAAACCAAGTTTCTTACAAAACATGATAGAAGACAGAACAGAATCTGCATTATCATATTATGAATTTCTTTTGCATATTCAGCAAAAAATGAATAAATGAGCTCTTTTCTTAAATGGTTCATCTGCTCAAAGGAATGTATCCTCCGTGCAGAACTCTTATTCCTGTAATGCTCCTATAAGTTGTTGGCCTGGTGCAGTTGATGAAAATCTCACTGTGATTTCCCATCTTCTCCCCCCCCCCCCCCAAAAAAAAAAAGGAAAAAGAAAAGCAAATAAAGGACTGTGGAATTTTTAAGTACACTATTGTGTAGTTGTACGTTAAAACTTTAAAATAAATATGAATATGTTGGACGCCTTTAATTTACTGCAAAAATGTTTCACAGTAAGTAATTGTGGCATAAGGCAATATTGGAGAAATGCTTATAAACTAACTTTTTTACCTTTCATTTTTATTTTTCTGCTTTGTGTTTTGCTGCTAGAATTAAAAACTCCAAGACTTGAGTTTCCAGGAAACTATATTGTCTTGATTATACAATACATTATTTGTTAAAAGTTGCCTTTTTAAAGGAACAATGAAAAATACATTGTGAACAAAAATACTTGCAGTTTTAATGAGTGTAGTTTCCATTTCTTTTAAACATTGATTATGATAAGAACAAAAGTAAACTTGAAGTAGTCTATTTGGGTTTAAAATGAATATCAAATAATTCATTTGAATACCTTTAGGATGTGTCAGTATTCTAGGTCTTGAAAGATTAATTAAATTACATTATATTAAGTAAGAATTAAATTTAAAAAGATCTGATGCAGCTGAAAAAAATAGTGAAAAATAATTGATCCTAGTCTTGGCTGTTAGCATGATGTGTTTGGTCTTAATTCATTGAAAGTAAATAGGGGAACAGACAGTAAACCAAAAACCATTATTTTCATATTGTTTTATTATTTTTTCAGTCATCTTTTTGTCATGGGCTGAGGTTTTGATAAAATGCTTACTGGTTAAATAATACATTGGTGGTGTATTTAATAGTTTGTTGAGATCCAGAGGAGCATCAGATTTAGTAGTAATAATTTTGCTATTCAAACATTTTGAGGCTTTAATGGAAAAACTATAGACAGGAACCCTGCTCAATTCAGAATGTTCAAATAATGGATAGTTATAAAAGATAAATGTTAGTTTTATGATTCCCTGGAAATTGCTATAATTTAAGTAATATAAGTGTATTGACATTTGTAAAACAGAAGGAAGTGTGGTGGTATATTATGGCAATCATTGTTTCTACATTGCTCTTTACTTCACTCCCCCCCCCCCCCCCCCCCCAAAAAAAATTGAGTATTTTTCTGCTGCAAATCCTTCCTGGTAGTTTTTGGTAGAATCATTTGCATTGATTTGTTGGTCATTGCTTTAATTTATTTAATCACACCCCTCTGAAGAATTTGTGCAAAAAGCCAGTGAAGTTTTTTTTCATGAACTATGGTATTTATCAACTGCCAACTGAATAGCAATTGTAACAAATGTTATAGCAATACTGTCTGCATCATGACCTATTTAGTTTGTTGGAGTGATTTATGAAGATTTTTAGAAAATGGTTGCTGAACAACTGAAAGAAAGAAAAAAAATCATTTCTTTAAAATGATTCAGATATCTAAAACAAAATCTACCTGCTGACTTCAGGAACCTTATAACTGATTTCACTGTTTTAATTTTTTTTTAGTTCAGTTATTTTGAAATGTTTTTTAAAATATTGGTAATCTAATTCAGAACCATAAAATCATGATGAGATATGCACTTGTAATTATGGAAATCAGTCAGGTGCTTTAAAATACAATATGTGGTGGAGGATTGATTAGCTCTTCTCCAAAAAATATACACAAACCTTTGTGTATAAGCCAGCTTTCTGAAAAGAAGGTATAGGCAAAAATTAGATACAGGGAAGTATGTATCTAGCACCTCATGCTGGCCGTGGGTTCCTCCTTGCTTCAGACATTCAAGTTGAAGCAGAGAATTGGTCTAATCAGATTCTGTAGAACTTTAATGGTAAAATCCTGATGAGTAGCACCATGCCTAACCTTTCTGTGTGTAAAAATATTCTTCTGCATGGAGAGGAGGGAAAGGTATGATGTAGACATAGCTCTACTTTATGTAAGATAAAAATAATGGGGTTTGAATAAATTATGGAACCTGATAAACATATTTCAAGAGTACATCCCTAACTAACTAAAAAAATGTTAACTGTGAGCATATTATGCTCTTTGGATAGAATACTGTTAGAATGCTCAGGCACTTTGAAATAGAAGTGAATTTTCTAATTCTTTCTGAGGAGAAAATTGATATCCTCCTCAACTTCTTAAGAAATCCAGGGCAAATCCATGTATAAATGTTAAATCACAATTTATATATGTCTTAGGTTCTTTAATAACATAAGTAAGCAAGAGTAGCCTCGATGCTCCCATCTCAGCATGGCAGTCACCAGCAAATGTTCTCTATTTTTCTAGTTCAAGATTTTAAAGAATAATTAGTATGATTTACCAATATTCTAGATTTGATCGTGCAACAACATATTAGCATTTACTTTTCTGTAACTTAATTTGCATTTGAATAAATCCTGATTGTTTTGCAATAATGTGGAAAAACTTGTTTATTCAAGGTTAATTTAACATATTAAGGGACCATCAAATGTGACAAGCCTTCTCTTCACTACATATTAAATTCTTAGTCAATTTGATTTTGTAAAGTAGTGTAAAATATTGTAATATTAATCCTTGTTTTCTGAACTCAGACATTGATCTTTAGTGTGCAATTGTAAACCTTGCTCTTCTGACTTGAAGGCGAGGTTTTGTTCCCCTTTTTACAGTTTGTAATTTTCACTGTTTTATTCCTGTAAAAAGTCATTTGTAACACATGCAAATGCTTATTTTAGCTGTGCTAATTTATCAAATTTGGCTACTCAATAAAATTAATTGAAAGAGCTTGCATAGAATTTTATCAATGTTTTTATAAACAAAATGGAACATGCAGAGACTATCTGACCATTTAATGGATAAAATGATTTTCAGTACATAAAGAGATACTTCTATGAATGATTAGACCTGGGGATTAATGCTGTTTAAATGCAGTGCAAATTGTAGATTGAAATACAAACATTTTAATGTATTTTTACCAGAAGCAAGTAAGATTAATTCTTCTGATGTGGTAAACTTCACATTCAGCAAATAGTTTAAATAAATATGCAGAATTATAATGTAAAGAATCGCTGGATCATTGACTAAAACATGATGGTCTGACTATTAATTAGAATGCTTCTCTGAGAATTGCAGCTAATCAACTTAAATAAGCTAAATGTATTTTTTAAATTTCAATAATCACATTAGGCTCTTTTCTGAGGGATACACAATATCAGAAAATATATCTTAATCTGTCCACAATTCTAACCAGTACATCTGTGTACATAAAAACTTTGGAAAGTAAATTAAAAACTTCAGTATTTATTTGGAATAGTATAGTATCTTGTTAAATTAGCTCAATTTTTCATGAAAGATTAACATTTTTGGAAGTATTTTATTATTTTTTCAAAGGTAGCTCAGCCAGCTTTTTCTGACTGCATATAATAGCTTGTTCATTATAATTACTTAAATCATCCTGTCCTGTATCCAGGAAACACATTTAGTTATAAGCAAAATATTACAGCTACTGTCAATCAAGTCTTAGCACTGAAAGCATTTGGGTAACTAACTTGGTTGAGAGGCCTGACTCTGATGAGAACTGGACAGGGAACTTTAAGGGAAAACAAGGTCTTAAAGGGAAGTTATCTCACAAAATAGCAAACCACTTCTTTGTTATCAACGCATATCTATAAAATCATTAATTCAGTTTGGCTTGGAGGATTTTTATCAGTTATATGTAGTATATTATTTATCTTCACTGTTTAATGTGAAACGGGGGGAAATTTAAAAAATGGAAAGTAATAAAAACTACATTTGAATGACATGTAAAACGGATCATTATTTTTGCCCTTATCCTATATTTTTGGACCATAATCACTAATGTATTACACCAGTCAAACAATTCACAACCCTTGGCTAAAAATATAATTGTACACAGATCTTTAAAACCAAATCATTAAAGAAAATAATTAAAATTAGAAGACACAGAATTCCTACTGGTATTCCAGTTGATACCTCAAAATCTAAAGAACAAAATTTTAATAAGCATTTTCTGAGTACAATTTTCAAGTCAGCTATTTTCATGCCATGGAGCCCACTTTAAATTAGCTTGCTATTCATAATGTGGGAGTCTTTATCAAAAACTTCCTTTAACTCAAAGCATATTTTCTCAACAGCATTTTAATAATCTATTAAGGAAGTTGTTAGATTGGAATTGGAATTGTTAGATTGGAATTGATTAGCTTATTAGAGCAGAATTTGTTTTTATCAAATCCATGCTAGCATCTGGCAATTACCACAGTAGCTTTTTATTATCTACTCTAGAATCTCAGCATTGGAATATTGAAAATGCTGATTTTTTAAAAGATAAGCAATATTTATTCTGCAGCCATCTGGCACTTTAGTAATTTCCAGATTTTCCAACAGAATAAGCCAGCTTTCTGAAAAGAAGGTATAGGCAAAAATTAGATACAGATACATCTACCTCAGGGGTATCAAACTCATGGTGTCATGGCTGCATCATGTGACCTATCACGACTTTTTTCTCCTTCACTAAACCAGGTGTGGGCATGGCCAGTGTGAGGCATCTGGCCTGTGGGCCATGAGTTTGACAGCCCTGATCTAGATTGTAGTTAGTTCGTTCAATAACCTTGGGTGCAAACATCTTTTTTTTTTTTTAATATACAATTTTTTAAATATACATTTTAATATACAATTAATCCATTTCATTTCAACCATGTGTCAATTAGGTACATGTTTTATGTGCTTTCAGTTTATGGTTAATATTCTTATCAATAAAATAACAATCACATTACATATAATATCCAATATATCTATTTTTAACAATCTTATTTTTTATATATTCATCTAATCCATTTCAATTTATTTTGTTTTCTAACCATTGATAAAATAAATCCCATACCATGTAATATTCAGATTCTTCTTTCCCTTTAATTTCCAATGTTAATCTATTCATTTCTGCACATTCGGATGCAAACATCCTCTTTCTGTTGAACTCAAACTTCAATTTTGCCCATCAGTTTCTTGGTGAAACATTTTTTTTGTTGAGTCTGATACCAAGTTGAGTAGCTTTCTTTTCTATCTGTTAATATCTGAACTTCTTTATTGAGCAGCTATTATAGTGAATGTTATTTTGAAAGCATCCAAAAAGCCCTTTTTGTTATACGTATCTTTTCCTCAGCTCATTCTGAAATGTTATTTTTTTAGTGTATTCTACTATTCTGAGTTACCTGACCTTTTTTGTGGAGTTTTTTTTAACAAGCCAAGATTTTGTCAAAAAAATGAAACATAAGATGTGATGCAATATCTGAACTTCTTCCGTACGTTCTTCCGTACGAACATCTCCTTCCGTACGTTCATGCGATCATATTAATACCAAAGGAGCAATGATTAATGTTATGATACATCCAAATGCCCTTGATCCTAACATAATTTACTTTTCAAATTTGTCTTTTTCTCTTTATTAGCCCCACTGACTTAATTGTCCTCCCTTTTTTTCTCTTTGAAATTGTTTGCTAAATTCTTTTAAAACCCTTTCCTCTAAGCCAGACCTCCAGAAATTAGAAATAATATGTAAATAAGGGTAGGTCATACACACAATATAACTGCATTGCTTTCATTTTGAAGGTGATTGCAATTTGTTTTTCAATTTATGTGTGCCTATGCACCTACACATTCCCAGTTTCTCATGTAGCCCATTGGGAAAATTAATTTCAACCCCTGTTCTAGGCTGAGCTTTTCCCCATTAGCTCCTTCTGACACTGGTAACACTTATTATTGAATTTATTAAAATCCTAGATAACATGCTTTAGCTATGCTCAGCTTTATTTCCCCTTAAAATCAAGCATTCCAACATTATCTTTTTCTCCCAACATTCCTGCTTCCACTTCCTCTTACTTTGTCTCACCATTCTTTATTCCAAACCATGCCTTTATATTGGATCTTATTTGTAGCACTCAAAATTAATAATAAACCATTCCTAACCACTTACATCCTAAAGTGTTACAAAACATTACATTTGTTGCATTTTTATTTAAATGACATTAGCTCTATATATAGCTCAGTAAAAAAAAAAATTCAATTACACCAAATAAATCTAAACCATTTTAATAGAAAACAACTCTAGCACAAAATCATTAAAAAAGCTCAATATAAAAGATGAAGAATAGAATAATTAAAATAAACATATGCAAGCCGAAGGCTAGGAAAACAAAATCCTTGCCTAAATACTGTCAAGATCATAACTAACAGTTTATTAAATTCTGAATAGAGTTCTTTTATAATTGGGTCGCATTATCAAAAATCTCTAATATCTATCCATGGTGTCTTATTACATTAAAATAGGCCTTTAATATTTATCTCCAGGCCAAGGAATGAGATATATCTATCTAGATTCTAGAGAGATAAAAATCAGCTATACGGTATTTGGAAGATACCTTGTGGTTTGACTTTAGCTTAGCGGCAATATTGTCCGTTCCTTGCAAATATTTTTGGGATTAGAATGGAAAACAATTTTGGTATTTTCTTAATTATTTGGGGGATAAATCATTAACTTCCGCTATCAACTGGCTACCAATGGAAATACGCGGAGCCCCACCGGAAGCAGCCCGGAGCTGATGGTGACGGAACCGATTATGATTTTTTTCCTAACCGATGAGATCATACTCAACTTCAGCCCTTTTCACCCGCTTCACTCCCGAAGCCTTTGCCGCCATCTTTGCTAGGGTCGGCAGCTTCTGTTACAACGGCTTTAAACTTGCCGCCGTCACCGCGCTGCCGTTTTTGCTCTAACAGGAAGACCCTCATCTAAGATGGCGTCGCTCGTTTCAGCGTATGAAGGCGGTCCTCAAATGGCGTTAGTTGCGCTTGCGCGTTAAAGAGCGGCTGTCAGAGCGGGGGACCTTGGTGATTTCCATTGTATTACTTGAGGAGAGAAAAGCCTCGAAGGTGGTCGCGGCTCTTTCG